TGTATGCATAGGGAAAATGAAACGTATGTAGTCAGACATAGCAATGCAATTAAATGCTACCTCATTTGCGGAAATTATTTATCCCGTATAGTAAAAATTCTCATTCAATAATTACGTGTTTAATGATGATATTACGTTATTTACGATAATTCTGGAAATTAATGAAGTATTTCGAAGATTGCAAAAATAATTTATAAACTTATCATCTAAAAGATATATTATTCTTCGATAATATAAAGTGATAAAGATTTATCTTTCTATATTTTATCCTTTTTGTTCATTTTCTTCTCTTCGCTCCTTGCGATCAAAAATTTGATATAATCTTTTAATTGTTATTTAACTTTATGAAGATTAATATAATATTCTCTTGCAACAACGTACGTATATTATTGATCGCAATCTATAATTTTGTTAATAATAATAATGAAATTAAAACTAATAAGATTTAGACTCCTTTAATTGTGTGTGGTGTGTGTGTGTGTGTGTGTGTGTGTGTGTGTGTGTATGATATAACAAACAAACAAAATTTATACCAAAGACTATAGGAGTCAACTCTGGTTGTTAAAAATTGCGAGATATACATTTAATTAACAATAGCATATAATTTCGTATTCATTAATAATAACCTATTTCGACTATATAATCTGTTTCATTGGCTGCATTCAACACAGAAACCAGCTTTGCAACTGTATAAAATTCCTCAATACGATTAGTTCTTGCTTTCGGTTCCTTATGGATCTAAATATACAAATCAATCACGAAGAATTTTACAATAGCTACAAAGCTGCTTCTTTTGCAGAACGTAGCCATTTTTTCTACACAACGATCGAAGTTGCATACACGGCATGCAAAGATGGGAAAAAAGAAGGGAAAAATTTTACCGAGATGACTTTTCCTTTTTTCCGAAAAGCAGAGAGAACGATATATTTTACGGCGATCATGCAGCGCAGGTTTCTCGGGAACATTTCGCCAGTAGAAACGGACGCAGCAGGGTGTGGCGAGACATCGACATACCGGATACCGCCACCGCCGGACTCCGCACGCCATCTCGGCGGCGCGGCGCGGCGCCGGCTCCGACGGAGCCGAGGAGTTTCCGCGCGTCGAGAGAGCCGGTACGCCGTACGCCGATGGGTTATCCACAGAGCTTACCCCGCGAGAATTACCCCAGGTTTTCACTTCGGAGCAACCCTTGCGGAATTGATCCAAAGGGGAAGCGCGTCCACAAAAAGTAGAAATTTCAGAAAAGGTGTTCCGAGTAACGTTGAAAAACGTTTTTATCGCCTTAAAAGGAAGAGTGAAGAGATCCTCATCCCTAAAAGATCTTTATTTTCAACCCCATTGCCTTACTCAGTCTGTCGCTCTGTTATCTCCTTCTCTATATCGTAAATGTTCTCAAATTACAACAGTGATCTTTTGCTCGGATGTAAACGATAGGATTTCTATCTTGGGTGAATGATTTTTTTTCTGTCGGCAAGCATTTATAGTAAATATTTAATATTCCTATAAAATTCTCCGTAATGTGATTGACGTCAAAAAGATATAAGATAAATAAAAATAACTGTGCGGATGTATTAAATTACGCAGAGCTGTTAATAAATATTCGTATCATCAATATAACGTAATAATTAAATTTTTGTGAAAACTGATTTGTTATCTTTTATCGATTAATCGATATACCCGCACGAGTTGTACTAGATACATGTTAAACATGACAATAAAATGCATTAAACGCGTAACATGCGAAACGCACAAAGATGTTAAGGATATAGTGTACCAATTTTTACAAATGCGTTAATATTTATACTTTAAATAAACTACATTTTTATCAAATAATATTTTTTTGTTTATATATTTTATTTATTTTTTTATTGTAAACTAAAATTGAAAAAATAATAACAAGAATTTCAATTTTTTTGTACGAGTATTTTGAATATTCAAGATAATTTATATCAAGTTTTATTGCAATTAAGAGATTAGTTACAAATATTTTTAGAAAAAAGTAAATACTTTGTTTGTTTACAAAACAATTAACTTCTGCAATGCAATGTATTATATAAATCATCTTGAATATTTAAAATATCTACTTATATAAAAAATCGAGATTTTTTTCATTATTTTATAATATATTTCCATATATTTTTGTTAGAACACAAATATTACTTTTTATCGAAATAACTTTTAATCCAGATGGTGAACCATCGTTAAATTCTATATTATCTTCTAAATGCGATCTAGAATAATCTGTAATTTTTTCATAACTCTTTCATCATTTTGAAAGCATGTGTAATACATCCTCCATGCATTTTAATAGCAGATAGCTTGCTTTTATAAAGAAAGAGAGGAAGATAAATCCAGAACAACATTTCCTTTCTTTCTCATTTCGGGTTTTCGCTTAAGGTCTCCGCACAAGAACATCCTAAGCAATACGTTATGTTAAGTATTGAATCGTAAACTAAAGCCTATACATTATACATAACAATAAACTTACATCAAGGCACAAAGAAAACATATTGCATAGGTTTACATATAGGCGTCAGTTTATGTTCAATATTTAATGTAATATCACGTGTTACAGATTTTGTGTGGACAGCCTTATTCGGAATGCTGCAATTACTGCTGCAAGTCTGAAATTATTTTCCATTATTTGTCTTTTATATAATATTCACGGGAAATTACATACAAAACTGTCGTTCGTCTTTTTTCAATCAACTTTTTCATTCTCTAATCGAGCTATATTTTCGTATAAAACTTTTTTTATCTCTTGTATTTAATTAAATTGAATAATTGGACTTCTCTGTTTCCTTTTGATTACCTCTGTTGTGATTTTATTGTTATGTTATTTTGCTGGTATTAAATTAAAATCTTCGAATTTTGATTTTTGAAATAAAAAAAAATTGTTCAGTTACGTTGACTTCAAGCAAAGATACGTTAATTGAAGTACTCTCTAAATCTGAATCAGTGCAAAAGTTCAACTAAAAAGAAAAGTTTGAACATTATATAATTAAAATACTGATTTGCACGTTAATTTCAATCTTCCAATATCATGTTCATTGAATTTATGCACTAAAACAAAGTTCATTAGATTACATAAAGATTAGATAAATTAGGGATCTCATGTTTCATTGATTATGTGACATTAATATATCAGCGATTATCCACTGATTCAGATTTAGAGAGCAACTGGATAAGTACAGTTAAGGAAGTTTTGGAGCAAATGCTAACAATAAGTAGAATTAAGTATATTAAATCTTTATTTGTAGTTTTTTTTTTAATAGCAAAACAATAGTTACTCATTGGTTGCAAACTTTTAGCAGTAATTATACTTAGATAAAACACAAAAAAAGATAACAATATTTTTTTATCGGTAATTAAACATTGATATACCAATTTTTTAAATATAAACAAACGGCTCAACTGATACAAAATCATATAAATATAAAAGAGCTACAAGTCATAAACAATAATAAATACAAAGTATAACGCAACTGATATATCATATCCCTTTTAGTTAAGAGGTAAAAAGTTGCTCCTCGGAGCAACTTGGAGCGTTCACTCTTTAACGTCACTTTGTCTGTAGTTGCAGCAGAATAGAATCGCGATGAAGACAACAGACTGGGCGTATCAATTTCACGCGGTACAAACGGAAGAGAGAGAGAGAGAGAGAGAGAGAGAGAGAGAGAGAGAGGAAGGCGCAGTTACTTCAGAAAATAAACGAAGGAGAGAGAGTGAAACTTGAACTGAAGAAACCTGACTGAGACCTCGCTAATTCCAAGGGTTAAGTTAAGCTCGTAATGCATCTAAAGGCCAAGGAGAAGGCGAGAGTAGAAGGGAAGGAACAGGAGCCAAAGGCGATTGCAGGCAATGCAATCTAGATAATTCCTTCACGGAACAGTCGATCTCGTGAGACAGTAATGAGTACTTCTATTCACGACAAATTCAGCCACTTCGGTACGCAAAAGGATGACAGCGAATTTTCCACGTTTCTACACTTGTTCGGATAATTATGTTATTGTCATGATTGTCACGTTCGGATTTCTATAAAATATTCGAAATCCTATATTTTCTCTTTATTTTCCTTTAAATTGAAAATCATCATTGAAGAAATGAAGAGAACAGAGTTAATTAAGACGCATTGATTTGATCATCCCAAGAAAATCTGTTCCAAAAAATTAACGTTTGTTTCCATTCGGCGAAGACACGATTAGACTGATTAAATCAAAATAAACGTATTTACGACAAATGTAATAATTAAAAAAGTATTTTTTAATAAAATAAAAAAATTATTAAAAAATTAGAGATTTTCCTATAGTATGTTTAAAAGTAAGTAAAAGTACAAAAAGTTTGGCTACAATGTAAAATTATATTATAAATATAATTAATTTTACTATTTAATTAATTTTAATTTTAATTATATAATTAAAATTGTATTAATTGTATTATTAATACAAAATTATTTTATTTCACACTATTTTGGATTAAAAAATTATAAAAATAGACGTTTTTAGAACGTAATTAAAACAAAAAAAAAGCAAATTTTCATTTAAACTAAAAAATTGTTTTATTAAACATCACCTTAAACGTTTTATATCTATATAACAATCATTGCTATATGAAAATATAAATTTCCAATTTCAGTTATTTTTTGCAAACGCTATATATCTAATATATCCTTCATTATTTACGGTCTTACTGAGCATATTTTTTATAAAACTTTTTTATAGACCACGAAAAAGATTTTTCTTCAAGTTAATCAATAAAAATTCTCGATAAGCTTAGAATATTCTGTATCGACTAAATTTAAAATATGACAGATAAAATATGATTTCTTGCAAGATATATTCTATCCGCAGAAAATTATAGTCGGGAAGTTGCGACTTGATCAATCTCAAACTAAGGTAATGACTAAAGCAGACAGCTACCGAGAAAAATGATGAAGAACAAAAATGATTAAAGAAGTCCATTCGCTCGCGAATGAAATTTCATAAAAAATTAGTACTCACCGGTATCGTTGGACTGCCGGTGACCCTTGCCATCTGGATTCCACTCTTCTTCTGTAACAAACAGAAAAAACAGCAATTAGCGACATCATTTATTAACGGGGAAGAAATTTGTAGACAACACGTTGAGGCTAGATAATAAAAACAATAAGTTTCTTCATAATTATGCCTCTCATTAATACGAATTTATTGTCATTATTATCGAATTTGCGATAACAATAATTGTTTTATTGTACTTCTGGTCATAATAATAAGAAATGTTATCTCTTCTATGTTCTTAAACTGATTATTTTAGATTACAAACGATAAGTTAGGTAGGTGTGCAGATCAAAATGCAATTGCCATTGCAGTGAATCCTTTCCATCTGAAAGGCAACATATTGGTTTCCAGCAAATTTGCAATTATTACAGTGGTAACGCCCCTGTTTGAGAGTTTCCAGAAACTTTGGTAACAAGTATCGGAAAGTTTCCCGCGGAAACTAAAGTTCGATTTCGGAAAGTTACGGATATTGCAGAGGCCTATAGTGGAAACTCGCCATCCGCACATCCCACACTTTCCAAGTCAAGTTCCGAGTACCTAAGAAAGCGTGAGAGAATCATTGAAAAACTCGCGAACCGTCTTTCTTAGTTATTTCGACTTTCGTCATTGGCAATTTGACTATAAACTCGTATACTATTATAAAAGATCCAAGTGAAGAATCGATGCGTACTATCACAGTTCTCTGCTATTTATTCCTTTAAATTATGACTTTTATCATTATTTACTTTCATTTGTATTATTTTTTGTATTTATACATATTATGATAAATACACATAAGATTTTTTGTTGAGATGTTTTAGAGGATAATACAATATGTATTCGAAATCTATTTTTCAGAAAATAACTTGAAAGAACGAATTACAGCTCTAAATGTATCTAATGTATCTACTTGCTAGTTACAAAAAAAAAGTATTTTAAATTGTTTAAAATGTCATGATGATATATTCAAGCACGTAATGTAAATAAAATAATTTTATGACGAAATAAGTAATATCTAGCAAAATAATATCTTATTATAATATTTATACAAATATGCAAAATAATTAAGAATCAATTTACGCTAAAAAAACCTAATAATTCCATTTGTTTATATGATTGTGTAGTATTGCAAGTGTATTGTTTAAAAAGATATAATCATAGAATGATAGAGATCATATTAAATAGTTAAATAAACAGATTTTCCTCTATCACACTTTTTTCTATATTGACTTACAAAAGAACTACATTCCAGCTCAGTTACTAGGATCACCCAATATATATAATAGAGTTATAAGTTAAAATATTGTTCACGTTCCATCCTAAACATATGTGAATCCGACCAAATACCTACATATATTTTCCATGTATTGTAGCAAGCTGCGGTCACGCATGCATAATAACACGAAAATCGATCGAGCGTTCACGGCGGTGCATTTTTTCGTCTCTCCGACGTTTGAACGCATCACACGTATATTTATGCGAAGTGTATGTCAATATATGATAAATTGCGATACCAAAAAGCGAAACCGAATCGAGGCGAGTCTCGCGTACCCACATGGAACATGTGTGTGTACTTATGCAAAAAACACATTTATATGTAACAAAACGTAAATCGAACGTGGTATCGACTGTGGGTGCACGCATCCCGAAAGCAAATCCTAAATCCAGTAAGCCATAGATCCATGGTGTTTAAAATTTAGATTTTCCGCAATATTTTACTAGTTGCTTTTTTATTTGGATATATACTTATTTGCACGACATGTATCCCAAGATTATATCTCAATTATATCTCAATTTTATTCTCTTTAATAATATATCTATTGTGTAAATCAAATAAAACAAAGCTTGATGCAATTCTGTGTACTTTAAATAAAAAAACTGAAAAGTTTTGTTTTATTATAAAATAATTTGCCTTAAATATATATATATACAATAATAATGTGTACAAATTGCATAATATATACAGTATAATAAGCTTAGTATTTACATTAAAATTAAATTTATTTCATAACATAATATCTATACGCGCTTTATTTAAACTTTTATATTATTTAATTAATTTATCTGTTTATTCCTTTACAGGAAAGATGATACGTCTCAAGTCGTCTTACCTGTCAAGCGAACTTTTATTCAACAGAATTAATGAAGTGATGTTCGACACGACAAAGTATTTGTTATCAATAAAATTAAAATATCAACACCGCATGATTAATTATGGATATGCTATCCATGGTATATGCATATTATATGTACGCGTACACGAGTCGCGCATATTTTATGTTTATTATGCATAATACACCAGTTATGTGTGCGTGTGTATGTTATGTCATGTACACAAGTTAGTTATGTACACCTGTTCAAGTTGATGATGTAAATGCATGATTGAATGAATTTGTAAGGATCTGACGTATGTACAGTTGTTTTAGTATTCTAAACCACGCGGGAGATATGAATTTAGATTTATGCCGTGACCCCGTTTTCTTTGGAAGCACTTGTTAATAGAACTGGTGCTCATTAATAAGATTACTCTTCGTCTTTAGCGCGTTAACTATTGTTTTTAAGGAGGAAGTTCTCACAAGGTTTTAATTTCAGTTTTATTGACAAGTTCCCAATTTGCAAATAACAAAGTTTTTTTCTGAAATGTTCCTATACATGATCGCCAGCAGTTACAACGAAACCAACGCTCAACTGTCAACTGATAATCGAGGTTCTGTCAACCAGTATGAGGCCATCACTGACAAATAATGGCTATCGAATGACAGCTAAAGTTCTGTCAGACAATACAGAGCCATCATTGACCCAATGGCTGGCTGACGGCCAAAGTTTTGTCAGCCAGTACTAACAAATGATTGGCTAAAATGACTGGACCAGTATCATCTGTCAGTACTGGATCCAAGTTATCATCCAATACTTAGACAATACTGGGCCAGTACTGGGCTGATTGTAAAACCTTATATGAACTTCGTGCGATTTCCTCTTTTTCCTTTTCGGTAACATCGCTCATTCAATACAATAAAACAATATAATTAAAAACTCATTCTTTAATTATTTGCAGAAGAAGAACGAAATCAAAAAGAAAAAGGAAACATACTTTTAATCCTCTACAATCAGTTATCACACTAAAATTGCATTTCAAAATTAATATCACAAAATATTGATAATTCAAAACATTGAACTTTATTTTCTAGAAACTCTGTTTTTTTTGGAGTTGTATCGTTGTTATAGCAAATAAACGATACATAGTTTGTAAGTAATTAAATAGCTTCCATCAAATTATATCTCTGTATACATGCATGAATAGTAATCGTATAGATTTTAAATTACCATATTGATCAAAGTAAATCATGAATAAATGGCGTATTTAGTACAGACTTCAAAGCAGAGTTTTCCCGAGTTTCGCGAAAAGTCGAAACATAGAAGAGTCAAAAAGGAAGTCGATATTAAGGAAAGCGAAAAGGTGAGCCCAAGGAGAGCCTCGCGCTTTTTCTCTACTTTCCTTTCAAGCGTGCGATCCCGTTTGCAAGCTCAAGAGGAACTCTTTCACGGTGCGTTTGGCATAGTAAACGAAATTTATCACGTTCTGTGAGGGCGACTTGCAGGAAGCTGCTCGTCACAGGTAGATTCCGGAAAGTGAAATTGTGGCAGCGCTCCTCGTTTTTATATTGATGGTCGTTGATTGTGTCCATAGCAATAATGGGTGTTTTTTTTTCCTGCAATACGATGTGTGTTTTCGTGGATCCGCGTTGCAGATGATCGCCGTCACATAATTGGCGAAACGTGTAACTCGCGTGTCCCTTTCGGCGAGCGAGCGAGCGACCGAGCGTGCGATTGATCCACCGAATATTTTTTTTCGAATGGAAAATTAACGCACGGTCGTGGCGCGTATTGTACCGCGTGTTGTTTGCGCGTCAATTTGAGGGCCGAGTGGATGTCGGGGCTACGTCAAATTCGCATAGGACAAAGATAAACCATTCGAATAAACGACTATTTTCTATCGCGTGTAAATTAGCGATGCGCATTGTTGCATGGTAATTCCTTATTTTTGGATTGTCGTAAACTTCGTAAAAACACAAAATCGTTTAAAGACAGAAAATCAAAGAAAAATTCCAACGAAGGTAGGAGAATTTCGTTTGCTATCGTTCATCCACTACCCAGAGGTTTCAGTAATAAACCTGGCTCTAAGAGATAAGAGTCTAAATCCCAAACTCTCTTGGGGTGAACCTCAGAGGAAATAATCCTGATTACTGTCTTCTGTAGACGGATTATCATTGCCCTTACTGTCGTAGATCTTGAAATTGTAACACTCGATCATGACGTAAAATATGACATGATCAAACTTCATAAAATTCGAAAAGATCTATTAATATAATGTGTGAAATAATTTTATAAAGCAATTGTATAATGCAATATATAAAATATATAAAACAGCATAATAATAATTGAAGGATTTTTTTTTCACAAAAATTAAACAAATCTAAAAAGTAAAATTTTGAGAAAGTAAAAAAATTTTTTCATCTTCAAAAAGAAATCGTTCATTAAATAAATATAATAATTTTGTTCTATATAATAGATATATAATAGATACAAGAACAAAATTTTAAGTTTTGATTTAGATATTTTACTATTTAAACAAAATAAAAAACTTCTGGATTTATTTGGTTTTTGGTGGAGAAACTCTTCAATTTTATAAAATGGTTAAATGAATTAATATTAATTCAATCATTTGTAAAACATTAAAGCAATAATGACTAATTTTATCATTATATAAGCTATCTCAATTCAGAAGAGTGTATCAACTGTTTAACTTTATATTGTATAAAGTTTTAAAGTTGATTTTTAACTTATCAAGTACCTCTCGTTGCTTCGTCTTTTAATGCACAAACGTTTATTCACAAGTTCGTGCAGTGTAAAATCTCCGACAAAGAGGCCACGAGGGAGCGGCAAAAAGTCAACGTTATACGTCTTGGAATACTCATATTTCAGAGACGCTCCGTGAATACTTCCTATCCATCGTACAAAGGAGAGTTTGTGACGTT